AACAGCTGGAATAGTCATTAACTCATTAGTTCACATTTAGACAATGCACAATTATGACAGCTCATATTTCTAAGACAGTGATTGATTTATGACCTTGCCAAAACCCACACTGCTATAATGAGCAGAAGCTTTAATTAGCTTAAAGACGGGCAGGGCTACCCCCGGACAGAAGCAGAGCAGGTAGCAGCATTTTCCTCTGCACAAGCAGCCTGGCTTCTTCCTCAGAGATTCAGGGAACCCTGGGCAGGTCTCTCCTTGTCTCCTTTCAAGGGCAGAAATGATGTGTCCCAGCACATGCATGGTTCCTGCTGGGCAATTTGTGGGAGCGGTGCCACTGGCCCAGTTGCCCACACTCACCAAAGACAAATGCAAGACTGAACCAGCTCCTCCACCCCTGGGAAGGAAGGCACTTTTCCAGAAAGCAGCCAAACAGCATCTGCAATTTGACATGTTACACTTATACAATACTTTCTGTGCTTATTAACTAATTATTGAGTGTTTAATAATCAGACAATATTTATAAACTAGTAATTCATTACTATTTATATACTTGTAAGTTGATTATTCAACACATACTCAATATTAAACTATGCTACTTATAATCAAGTGATGACAGCAATTTATCTACAACCATGTCAAGAGCTCCCTCTGCCATGACAGTGAGTAGGAGTTGCACTCCTACCTCCATGAAGGTGGTAGGAGCCAGGCAGGATCAGGCAGCACATGGGCAGTTGCCCAGCACAGGCCTTTTGCCTCTGCATTGGGCACATATCCAAAATATGCAGGAATATGAGTGGTGTGTTTCATTTTTATGAAGGTACTGTTGCCCTTACCAGTGTGACTTTCCAGTACCATTAAAATTAATAAGATGTTGATTAGCAAAGCAACAAGGAATAGCAGTAACTCTGGTACTTCTCAGCTTTTCAGTTTGCAGTCTCATATCTAGCAAACTTAAAAGTTGACTTAATCTAAGACTATTGTGTAGTGTAAGATATTGTTGCATCTATCAACACAGTGTAAAAATTTTAGGGAAGTGCAGGCTATGACAAATGCCATTTGAATCATTACTTAACTACACAATAAAGCCACAGCATTTTTACATTTTACATAGTTGCTTAGGTATAACTAAGAGTGTGAAGCTGAATATGCAAGAAGAATACATGAAAGCTCCTGTGCAAATTCTAATTAATAATGATGGCCTGCTGCAGAGGCTAATCACAATAATGAGAACCAGATAACAGCCCAGGAAGCCCAGTTAAAATGTAGGAGAAGACTGCAACTTCAAAAAACTAATAGTATTTGTAATTGGAAAAAGCCCCTGGCAATCCAAAACAAATGCCCAAATAATGAAACAAATGAAGACACTGACAAAGTATTCAAACTTCAGGAGCAGATAGTCTTACAAAATGATTCTGTAAGTCTCCATCAACTTCTAGGAAAATGCTCTAAACCCAAGCACTTTCATGGCGTACAGGGGCTCTCTGGTTTGTTGTACCTCCGTAGGATTACACTCTACAAGCCAACATTTTAAAAGAAGCAGCTGAACCTAGTCCTCAAGCTATTGATTTTAGTCATGTTCTTTCAAGAAAGTGTATGTAAGTACTGGAGAAATCTCTGAGGGGAGAATAATTAATAGTAAAATGTTGATTCTTCTGTAGTAGAAGAAATGTTGAAGGAAAATGGTTGTTTTGGGCAAACTCTGGCCAGCAGCTTAGCCCCACATACCTGCTTGCTCAGAATCAGAAGAGTAAAAGTGAAAAAACTTGTGGCTTGAAATAAACTCAATTAATAGCTAAAGCAACACCATGGAAGGAAAGCAAAACAGGGAATTCATTCACTACTTTTCGGGGTGGGTAGGTGTTCAGCCACACCCAGCAGGGCAGAGCTCCACCATGAGTGATACTTGGAAAGACAAATGCTGCATGTCACCTCTTTCCTTCTTCTTCCCCCAGCTTCTACTGCTGACCATGAGGACATGGTATGGGATATCCCTTTGGTCAGTTGGGGTCAGCTGCATTCCCTCCCAACTTCTCATGCACCCCCATCTTACTCAGCAGCAGGGCAGTGTGAGAGGCAGAAAAGGCCTTGATGTTTATAAGCACTGCTCAGCAGTAGCTAAAATGTCCCTGTGCTATCAACACTGTTTTCAAAACAAATACAAAATATAACCCTTCTAAGGTACTATGAAGAAAATTAACTCTATCCTGGCCCAAACTAATAAAATAGTAGAAGATAATCTTACCTATTTATAACTGAGGCTTAAGTGTTGCATTTCATGTTTCCCGAGGCTGACACTACAGCACATGATTATAAGTCTCAGGTTAAAAGCTTCCTGCGAGGGAAAGGAAGATGGCAAAAATCTGAGCCTAAATGTAACAATTTCAACTTTAAACATTATCTTTTTGTTGTTATAGGCCAGAGATGGAACAAAAAAATAACAAACAACCTCGTGAACAGCAGTTTAAGAATAATAGCTAATAAACTAAATAAAAGAATTAAAAACCCCACTTCTGAGTATGCTGTTAACATCTGATTCCTATGGAGTAAGAACTGAAATAGTCATTAACACTAGTTTTATCTTATTTTTAAATGTCTTCAATAAGTATTACAGGAGAGCAAGTAGTTAATTCCACCACATAAATATTAACAAGTACTCACTGCCTAACTTTGCTTTAATGATTTCCATTTTTACATATTTATATGAGGAGGAAAAGGTGCAACACTTAGTTTATGGCCATGACTGAAGTTATGGAAGGAAGAAAATAAGGTGTAAATTCAAGTGTCTCAGAGTCCATAAAAGAGAAACTCTGTTTCTGCCCACTATTAAATATGATCAAAATGACCTGATCGTGAATATGTTTGTGTAGAAATTGTCAAATATGTATGTAAGTCTCTGTAGATATAATTTATGTATTTGCAAATGATATTTGAGTTGGAAGAAAGAAGTGATTCAATTAAATCCAAATGTTTCTCACATGCAATCTGGTAAAGTATAATTTGTTATCATTAAGCTATCTCTGCAACTTCAGAAGTGAGAACTATACTTTCATGTCTTTCAGAAAAACGTTATAGAAATTAATGGTCCTTAAATAGGTAAAAGGAGTAGGTAATAACAGATTAAAAGCAGTACTTGGCAGAGAGAAGAGCTTCCTCAATTAGAGATGTCAAAAAACCCTAAATTTGTAGTATGTGGGCATATAACTTTATGAGAAAGTGTTATGAAATGACTAACCAGGTAATTGTAAAAATATAAAGTTATTCTATTCCTTTTCTGCATGCCAGCCGTTATTTTCCCATCCTTTGAGCCAGATAGTAAAATGTGTAGTATGTCAACTTTGCAGTATGACCAGTCTGAAGTTGCCACCCTCACTGTACCTACATTAGAAGAGACTCCACCAGTGACTGAACCTGTGGGAATCTGTGAACAAAAGGGGAACACTCAGCACTGTGCCCTCAGGGACAAAACTGTTTCTAGGAAGTTACTCTGGGTTATCCACTGTGCCAAAATGTTGGTCTGCCGATTACAAGACATGGTAACCTCCCAATAGTGCAACTCGTTCGGGCCTCTCAGCTGCACAGCTGTTGCATTTGGCCTTGTACCCTGTTGTAAACTGTCAGTAACATCTGCCACAGTGTGAACTGTATGTTGATGGTTGTGTTACTGCATCCTGGCTGCTGTGTGTGCACAGTGTGAGCTTTCATCCTAGCAGTGAGCAAGAACAGGTCAGTGGGTGGGCAGTAAGGCTGGGTGTTGTCAGAGCGTGCTGTGCTAGGGTCATTCCCACTGATGAGCTGTGCAGGTCTTTGACCTGTGCCATGTGCTGTGCATCTCCCCTTGGAGTCTCACCACCTTGTGCTGACAGATACTGAAGGCTGCACATGCTGGTGTTGTCATTAAAGTAAGAATTGTCCTTTCTGGTCTGGTCTGGTCCTACGAGTTTACACACTTGTGTTAGGGAGCAAACAGAGTTTACAAGATACAGAAGATATACTAGTAGCTAATAGGTAGCCAATAAGTACTTCCCACCAATGCACCTGCACAGACCTTAACAGCCAATTAGTGCTGCAACTTCTGTGCTGATAAAGCACAGTCAGCAAGATTAGCCTTATAGGTGAGAGAAACCAATTGCAAGATTGAGCAGGACCTGATGAAACTAGGATGCTTTTCAAAAGTCTTAGCAGTTGACTTTCAATTTACAAAGATCTCTTTTATAGCATGTATTCAGGTCTGGTTTGTGTGTGCATGCCCTTCTTTTCTAAGAAGCCTTAACTCAGAATAATATAGTCGGAGGAACCTGAGTATGGCTGGCACAGGATAGAAAACATTGAATCAAAACCTGCCACCTAAAGAGTATTTGATACACCAAATCACCAGCAGCCCAGAAATTCAAATAGGAAGATCTGATAAACCTGACCAAAAATCCCGCAAAATTCAAGTTTTCTCATGCCAGGGCCAGGACTACCTGGTATTACCAGACGAATATGAAATGAAGCAGGACTTCCTCCTGTCTGGGTCTCAAGGAGTTTCATTTTGGCGTGCAGATGGACTGCAAGGAAGCTGCAACAAAACCAGTGAAAACAAAACAAAAAGTCTTCACCTGCACAATGCCTATTTTCGATATAATAAAAGTACTAAAAATGAGAATTTTTACAGATTTCTTTCTCAAGACCTCTCTTCAACTTTCTGCATACAACAGACAATCTTCAAACTCTCAGGGTCAGGAAAAACTCCTTAAGATTTTTGCATATAAAAATGTTTCCTGAGTTAATTTGAAAGGAAAGTGTCAAGAGTATTTCAAAGCAGACTGTTGATTATTAGAGAAATTGCCAACATTTTTTAATTCCATTTTCATTTGACAGCCCCTTGAGTGCTACTGAGCTAGGTTCCTTTTCAGTAAAACAAAACCATTCACTGAAGCGCAAAGATGAACATCAGCTTCCTGGGAAGGTTAAGCCAGATGGAGTGGTGGACATAGACACTGCCTGTCAGACTGCAGATGAGAAGTTTAAGGTGGGATGTCCCTGCATTTGGCTTTGAGGATCTCAGGCAACTAATACTTGAGTTCAGAGAAAAAATTATGGCGTAGTAAGAGTAACATTTTTTGGGTGAAATTCCCAAGTATTATTCATTACATGGATTTCTCAGTTCTCTTGTCACTTGGGCTGTAGTCAGTCAGATTCCGCCTACTTTCAAACATATTTAGGATCAGTATTTCAGCTTCAAGAAGTAGCTGAAATGCTATCTATTCGCTCCAACAAACACATGAATGTGTTCGATATCCATTCTATGAAACACATCCGCCACCCTGTCTTCATAGTAGCTCTTTGTGGGCCAAACTAACCACAAGATTCTTTTCTTATTTTCACAACCTCAAAATAATACCCCGAAAGGAAAAGCTCAAGGAGCTAGTCAGAACCTTATTTCTTAAATTTTTATTGTTATTAGGCTTAGCTATCCTCCCCCCCCCCAATTATCCCAGTAGCTGTTTTGTCACAGCAAAGATGTCCAAAGTTACTGATGTCATTCTTCAATACCTAGAAAACCTGAATATCTCTTTGGTGCCTCTAGCACTGCTGAAGGAGGTAAATATCCCTTCAAAACTGTGCCCCACCAAAATACTCTAAGAAGTAGCCGTGAGACAAGAGGCTGATGAAGAGTTGCTTTATGTAAATGTTGCAGTCTGTGATGCAGTGAGATGTTCACGAGGGGAAGTGGAGGGGCAAATAGCAATTTCTTCACTCTCGTGACCAGTGACAGGACTAAAGAACACAGCATGAAGCTGAGTCAGGGGAGGTTTAGTTTGGATATCAGGAAAAGGTTTTTCACCTGGAGGGTGGTTGAGCACTGGAACAGGCTCCCCAGGGAAGCGGTCATAGCACTAAGCCTGACAGAGTTCAAGAAGTGTTTGGACAATGCTTTCAGGCACATGGTGTGATTCTTGGGGTGTCCTGTGCAGGGCCAGGAGCTGGACTCAATGATCCTGGTGAGTCCCTTCCAACTCAGTATATTCTATGTTTCTATGAACTAACCACTTAGGCAGACTGCAAACAAGTAGAAATGTCTCTCCTGTTCTGTACTCAGACAGGCAGTGGGTTACCTCTCCAGAAAATTAGTTGTCCCCCACAGGTCGTATTTCCTGTCTGCCAATAGGCATCCAGGTGCAGGCAAAATGAATGTCTAAACTATTTCTAGCTATTATCCTAGTGCTGGGCACATGCAGAATCACAAGGCATCATATTTGCAGCAGTCCAACTCTGTTGTTTCCCCTTCTCCCACCAAAAAATAGCCAACCACACTCTCATGTTGAAGAATACAAATCAGGATCTATATTTAACTCCTCTCCCATGTGTATCTATGAAGGCATTACCTGTTTGAGGTGCAATTGGGTAGGTCATCTAACTTGTCTACCCCAATTATTTTTGCTTCTGCGTTTGTGCACCACTTTAAAACTCTTTCTTGATTTTACTGTATGAGATATGACACAGAAGGAATCTGTCAGGCTTTGACCTTTCTAGAGGGATGCCTGTGTGTCTTCTAGTTTATGAAGGCAACTTTTTCAATGTGAGAGGCCTGAACAAGATGGTGAACTTTGACGACAGGTTGCTACAAAGAGCGTATGATTTGTAGGGTGTCATGGCAGTTTAATTCTCAAAGTTGAGGGGATTTTCTTGCTAGCAAAACCTGCTTTCTTGTCTGACATGTGGGTTCTATGGACTTGATGCTGAAGACATTGAGTTGTACTCTCAAAAGGACTTACGCATTACTGCTAGGATTTTTTTCTCTTAATGATTTAAGTGTCTAAATTCTATTTTTGAAGTGATTTAGGCCAGAGTCAGGGAAGTATTTTAGAATCCAAAGTTATAAAGTAGCTCAGTAGAGGGATTATCAAAACAGCTCATATATGCTTTCAAATCTCCACCACTGGGACCATTTTGAAGAAATGCACTTGCCAACACCCTTGGGTTCCCTATAGTTTTCAAAAATTCAAGAATTCCTAAGTAAGGAAGGGTTTATTTGAATATACAGCACTGAAACAAATATTCTCTACAAGCAGCAGAATATGGTTGTGATTTGAAAAGGGGAGGGGAAATAAGGTTTATTTTTTACAAAAATATGAAAACTTTAATGCAAAATATAAATTAATCTCTTTAAAATAGATAAACTAGTCTCTATTCTTCACTTCTCTTCCCATGGACTCTTGGGGGAAAGTAATGATTGACACAGCTAGGCAGGGAGGAATTGTACCTGAAGGCTGGGTAGCCAAGGAGGCAGGATGGCCTCCAAAACCAGGCAGCATGTGACCATGACATGTTATTGCCCACATCAGACCCAGAGAAAAAAAATCCCTGCAGCTTCCAAATCTGTGATACACCCCTCTTCCCCATGAGAGTCAGACAGCTCAGCCAGGCACTAACTGGCTGTATTAGTGTGGGGCTGTGTGGTGGCATTGCCCTCCTGTGCCATTTAATGTCTCCTGCTTTGAGTGCTTCACCAGCACTACAACATGCAGGTATTTGGGCTTGGCATTTGGGCATGACTTCTGTTCTCCACTTCAGGTTTTTGATACTTGAAAGTCTCAGCCTGTTCTGCTAGCAGCAACTCTTTGAATTGCTTATACATGCATTAATGGAAATATCTATCAGTTGTGACTGGAAAAAGTGCTGTGCTAAGTGTTAGAAGAGCCAGTAAAAACATGTCCATGTATTTTTAGTCACCCTGGGATTAATTCCCAGTCAAGTCTTTGTTTACAATGCTATATTTACATGGAACAGCCATGTGAAATAGGGATATTCCTCCTGACAGCTGCTCGGCTTTCCTCAAAGCAGTGCAGAGAGGGATTGCTTCAAAATCATACCTGCTGCATTTCTGTCTCCCTCCAAACACCATCACAGGTGCAAAGGTGACAGCTGCCCCAGTGCAACCCCTCTGCTTCTCACAGCTCACGTTGGTAGGCTGGGGACACATGTTGCCATCTCCTGCCAGGAATGCCCCAGACAGAGACCTCAACCCTACCCCTGGGGAGACATGGTCTAGATGTTGCCCCATCACTCACCTCTCAGCACTATGAGGCTTGCAAACAGTGTGTCCCTTCATTCATCTGAGGGAAGCCACTTGTTTTAAGGTGTGTTCATCGGCCTGCCCATGCTCTCCACGATGTTCATTTAGGACACTGTCATTTCCTAGAGCAGAAGACAAAAATAAATTGAGTGTATCAGCAATAAACATGACATCTTATGAAACTGCTGATCTTCATTTTACATATCTGAATTTTTAAAAGCAACTGCTATTTGCTATTTTTAAAAGCAACTGCTATTCCTGTTAAGTTCTGATCTCTGAGCCCCCTTTGATCTCATTCACAGGCTTGGTGTGCAGGAACAGTTTCTTTCAATCTTTCCTGACTGCAAATACGAGGTCAGAGACTCTTCTAGCCATCTCATTTCCAGAGAGGCAAAACTAGTCAGGCCAGAATTTTGGAAGACCCCGCCCATCAATATTTTGGTCCTACACTGAGGAGTCCAGCTCTTGAATAATGTCTGGCAACTGCAGCTTCTCTTAAGGTGATGTAGAAGAACCAACCACCATGCCAGCAACTTTTACAAGACCTTTGCTAAAATAGTCATTCATAGCTGTGCCTGCCTCAGTGGCTCACTACAGATATCATAATTGCTGAGGAACAGAGATGAACATAACATGTGCCCTGTGGATATTGCCTTTTACCATTGCATTTTTCTGTGCAGGACTGAGGTGTTATTAGTAAGCAAGGGTGAGAACAGCTGTGTATCTCTGGATTCTTCTCATTAAATAAGGCAAGATAAGAAGCAAAGCCTCACTTTAACCTGTCCCTTTGTCACGGCAGCAGGAGAACAAGCACACTAGACTGCCTTGTTCCCGCAGAGAAACCCATGAAGCAGTACAATGAGACAAGTGCAATTGCCTAAAAGGATGCAGGTAGTCCAGACCAGTGGCTGGTCTATTCCCCTGTTGTCATCCTGCCTTTACTTAATGCTGGGGATACAGGGCAGGGACGTATCACCTTCCATCAGAGCCTGTATTGCACATTTTAGAAAAAGCTTTCCCACAAAGGAATTTTCCCCCCTACTTTGCCAACATGAGTGTAGCTAGCCAAATGTTCAATCTCATTCTGAAAAGCCTGACATCTGACCCTGTTGAAAATTTAACAGTTTTTTTTCTTCCAAGTTATGCTGAGCTGCATAATAGAAGGGACGTTGTCAAAAGTTGCCATAGAAATGGAAAAGAAAGCAAAAAATATTACAAAGAAAGATAACAGATGACACTGGGGCACGTGAGGTCATAAAACCCTGTCCCCCATCCTGCTGAGCAGGACAAAGTGACCTAAGCCCCTACAGGACTGAGGCAACTTAGAGAAATACAGAATAAACATCTGAAAATGCCTGAAATGCAGGAAGTGAGTTTGCCAGCTTCAGCAAGCAGATCAACACTGCAAATATTCCCAGATCCATCTTCCTTGAGTTAGGCTTCCCAGTCCAGAATTCAGTTCCCTCAAAGAACATTAGCTGTGATTTATCTGCCTGAAATACACCTATTTCCCTTGGTATAAATGGGCTTCAAAGGTATTTTTCTTGTTCAAGTGAGCAGACCAAATTTCTGTGAGCTCGCTACACATGGAGATTGGAGAGTTCCTTCTCTAGTCAGCCAGGCCTAACTTTATGTTGACCATAAAATTTGGGAAATCATTCCTCCCCAGGCAATTGCTACAGGTTAATTACTTAACACAGAAATTATTTCTAAGCTGTTCTGCAGGTGACTTTTTGCAGATGATTCAAGTCATTCCTGCATTCACAAAACTTCTTGGCACTGGGAACTTCATCTTCCTTCAAGTCACCAAATCCATAGGACAAACCTCTCATTTCCTTTTTGTGCTGTGCTGGGACCACTGCAGTCCACCTTTCTTTAAAACTCCCAAGGAATGTCTTAGTCTTCTAGAGATATGAAGAGAATTAAGGTGTTTTCTGGGAGTAAATATGACTTGTAGGCAGGTATATGGCCTGACAGATGATTTCAGTTGTGGTGAAAGGAGTGTGGAAGGCTTATTGCCGAAGAAGGAACAGTCTACAGAAGCTCTGAGTTTCATCACAGCATTTCTCAACAACTGTGAGGGGTACCTAGCACACCAGCAGGACTTCGTGTTTTCAATGTCAGATTATAATAGAGAAAAACTCCATCAAACCAATGGCAACAGATCGTAGGAATGAAATTGGAAGAAGTGACTGGGTTTGGGCCTTTTTGTGTGCAGAAATGTCTGAGTCTGCACTTAAGGCAGCATGGGGATGAGGTAGAGTAGGACTAGCCCACTGAACAGTGGACACTGTGGGTCCTGAGACGGGAATACCAGCAGAAGACGTGAAACTGTAACATGATTAGCTAGACTGGCCTATCTGCTACTGCAGGGACAGGCCAACCAGGCTACAATTTCAACATAACCATCTAGTATGGCCCAAATGATGGATCAATATAAATGTCCTCTCACTTGGGATAAAAAAAGTAAAAATAAAAAAGGACCACCCTTAGCACTTTCCACTTCCACTGCTATTAGGAGCAAATAAGCATATATCATAGCAGCATTAGGTGCCTGGCATTCAGGTCAGCCATGGAAGGAGCAAGGGTTCAGCGGTCACTTGTATATGCTCCTTACCTCCCTTTCTAGTTTTTTTGCCATTTTCCAGTTATTAGATTCTGTGCCCTACTACATTTCGGAAAAAGTATTAAGCTATTCCAAATTTAACTTGAAAATTAAAGCAAAGTAAAATGACACTGAGAAATCCTAAGTACTTTTGCTCCCAAATGTATTTCTCACAAGCAGATTTTACTGACTTAAGTACTGTATGCATGAATTCTGGCTATGTGATTTAGTAAATGCCCCACAGATTGGTTTCGGTTTGTTTGTTTTCCTCCTAAAGGACTGTGCTGCCACTGCCTTCAGTTGAAGAGGATTTCAGCAATTCCAGTGCAGGGCTAACTCTAAAGCTGTTTTTTGCTGATAGCAGAAGATCTGTAGTCCTCCTTATGCTCACCTGTAATTCAGATGAATGTCCTGCGCTCCTAGATAAGCACAAAGTAAAGCATTTTCTATCAAAGAATGCTTTTGGGGAAAAAATGGTGATCTGGTAATACTACAGTATTTTTTTTGGAGAAAGAACCTTTCTGTTTGCCTTCGCTTATTTTTTCTTATGCCAGAGTGGGTCTAGGGAGGGAACAAGGTGCAAGATGGTAACAATCTAGACATCTCAGGTTGGCATGTTGGGTTCGGTCTGGGGTTTTTTTTTGTTGTTTTGTTTCCTTAAACCAATACTTCTGTCATTCAATTCCAAGTGACTGTTCCTTTCCAAAAGTTCCTTTACATCTTACATTAAAATGTCTTAAAACTTCAGCCACATACCAAAAAAATAATAGCAATTCAAAAAAAAAAAAAAGAAGGGAAAAGTTTACTCTAAAATATTTTAGTTGACTAAAACTTGGTATTCTCTGTCTATTTGGTATCAACCTGAAACAGAGTTTTTCTTTTTATTCCTGAGTACATAGGGGCTGATGTGTCTCTACCCTTCTGTTGTGTGTCTACCCATTTCCAAGCAGAATTGATTAAATGACCCACAGGATCACAACTGAATTAACAGGCTCTGTCAAAATATGAGGAGATTCATTACCCCATTGGCAACTAGTTGAACATTTTTTCATCTTTCCTGTTTAATGTGAGAACAAGACAGGACCTGCAACAGACATCTGTCTAAGCTGAACCTGCCACAATAAATGTCCAGAGCTAAATGTAAAAGAGAGCTTATGAACAAAGCATCTTGTTTTGAGTCACTGAGAGGTCCTAGTAACAGGCTGCTATCATGCCAGTTCCTTTAAGCTGCATCTGACATCTCTCTCTTGTCTAAACAACTGAGATTTTCAGGGACAAAAAAATGATGGACAATCAAGAATAAAAATGCTGATTCAGAAGCTTCAGTAGTACTTTCATAGTCATACAGCAAGGCTGAGCTTTAAAAGGCAAAAATCTGTCAGCAGAGAAAAACAAACAATACCCTCTGAATTTTTAGGGAAAGCTAATGAAAGTGAGAAAGATCTTGCACACAGGAGAGGGAGCACATGGGTGTTCAGCAGGAAGACGATGAGCCAGTCTCAGTTGAGTGGAAAACATTTCACTGCCTGCATTTGGCACTGAAACTTTAGTATATTTGGCAGGTCATTTTTACCAGATTTCCTCAAATAAGGGTCAAACTATTTTAATTTCTTTTTTGTGAATACACAAGCATGAGTGCACACGACTGTTTCCCTGTGTTGCATTCAAGATACGCTTAACAGAAGTTTTTAAAAACATCTGTAGAAAACAGGACTGAAAAGCAAAAATATCTGCTCAAGAAACAAAGTGCTGAGAAATTTCAGTCAGAAATTTTGGTGGGAACATCAGAATTAATTTGGGAAAGGCAATAGATGTAACTTTGGTGAAGGCAAGAAAAATTAATATCACCATCATCTGTGTAAGGTTTCTGCTGTCCACAACAGATGTACACCAAATCCTTTCGTCCCAAAGTTAAAATTCACAAAATTGCACATGCCTCCCCTTAAACTGCAGCTGCAGATAGAGACTAAGAAATACCTAAATCCAGACAGCAGCAGTTACTTATGAGTGATTGATTCCCAGCCCTACATTTGCTTTAGACGCAGATCAGTATAATCCAGGTGAGCAGAAAGGAAGCACAAAGTGGAAAATTCTCAACTTTTTGTTCAGAGAGATATGTCCTACCTGTCATTGGGTAGGCAGCCCACAATCCTCTCCCTAAAGGGATTGAGGAGTGCAGTCCCGCTGCCTTGCAGGGAGCCTCATGCTCTCAAATCTCCTGAGCACTTTGGAAAAAATCACCTACAGAAACATTAAGCCTTTACTTTTGAAACTTCTTCTTAAGAGATCTGAAGGCTCACTTCCTATTAATTTTAATTCATTTCAAAATCTCTGGAAAGCCAGCAAACCCGGTTCCCAAGAGATCCTCCGAGTGGGGACAACTTTGCACACACAGCCATCTCTGAAAGCAATTTGTCAGCTGCCACAGATGTGCAGGATGTACCCATGCTGCCATGACCAGCTTGGCTTCAGAGAGGCCTCTGGTGCTGCAAGAACAAC